TCTGGTCAAATTAAAATAAATAAATAATAAAGTTAAATAAAATAATTCTTTAAAAATATACGTGGTTGATATCTTTCTATCAGATTGGCAAAGATCATAAAGGAAAGTAATAACCATTGATTGCACTATCATGGTTTTTGCAAAATACATTACAAAAAAAATGTTCACTATAGTATTACTATATAGCAGAAAGGTAAAAGTAATTAAATGTTTATTAGAAGAATTGGTGAAATAAGTGATGATATAAAATAGATTACTAGACAGTTATTAAAAAGCTAAGATAGTAATGTATTGACATAGAGTTAAAATATTGTTAAGAAAAAACACGTGGGACCAGCAGTTAGTGTAATGGCTATGTTGCTGGATTCTCATGTAGTTGACCCCAGTTCGAGTCCCAGACCCAGTGGCTTAAACTCACGCCAGGCATGTGTGCATGCGTGCCCAAGATCCTGAGAGGAGAATGGAGGAGAAGGGATTGTGGCGTGGCCACACACAAACACACCACCCCCCGGGGAGTGATTTCTCACTTTCTGTGTCTCTGTCTCTTTCTGGCGAGCTGCGCCATATAGCAAAAACCAGAGAGACAGAAAGCGAGAGATAACCCCCCAGGGGGAATGGCCACACCGCAATCCCTTCTCCATTCTCCTCTCAGGATCTTGGGCATGCACGCACACGCGCCCGGTGTGAGTTTAAGCCAGCGGACCCGGGGCTCGAACCACAGTCAACTACATTGGGGTTCAGTGACATAGCCATTATGCTAACTGCTGGTTTTATAGATTTTAATTCAGTACTTCCACTTACAGAAATCCTTTCTAAAGAACAATAGAATATGAACATGAGAAGCATACATGTATTTGCCACAATGTATTTTTAATTCACAATAGTGGAAATGCTCCCAAGTGCCCCCCAAAAATAGTGTATGTGAATTGTATCTCAATGAAATTTTTTCATTTGTTTTCTTAAATACAAGTGTCATTTTAGCACCCTGCCTACTTAGTTTTTCATTTTACATTTTTTTGTTTTTTTTTTTTCCTCCCAGTTTATTTTGGAGATCAAGGTAGACTTGGAAAGACCTCTGAAATATTATTCCATGATGAAAATCGCCTTTCTCTTTCTTGCGAAACCTGTTCTTCAGCTGCTAATCCTTGGGCTCATCTGGGATCTTCCAGTCTTTCAGCCAGCTCCTTTTCTCCTTCTTTTTTGTTCTCTAGTAGTTATTTCAGGTAGTCACTTACCAGCACCTCAGCATTATTTTCATTTTCCTCTTGGTCTTCCTCTGCATCTCATTTGCCTCTTTCCTAGCCAAGCACTCCTGCTGTGTGTCCCTCCTTCTTTGGAAGGACTTGAATAGCTTTGATTTGCTGAGCAGGAATATAAGTGCTCCATCCTCTGGCTGGCTCTCCACCTAACAGCATCCTTAACCTCATCCTGTCCTTCGAACACCTCCCCAGGAGCTAATCAATACCTTCTACTTACTATGCCACTTACTTCCCACCTTTCAGTGTTTAAGTCCCTCCCACCCGTAGGTATTTCCCCTCCTTTTCTATCATTTCAGTAGTTTCTATCCTTAAATTTCTTTTCCTCAGCTTTGACTTTTTTTTTTAATATGTTTTTGCTTTCGGGTGTGTGCACTCCATGGAGAGAGAGAGACAGTGACAGTGAGAGAGAAAGTGAGAAATCACCCCCCCCCCCAGGAGGGATGGCTGCATTCCCTTCTCCATTCTCCCAAGATCTTTGGCACGCATGCACATGTGCCCAGTGTGAGTTTCAACCCACTGGGTCCCAGACTTGAGCCAGGGTCGGCTATGTGGGAGTCCAGTGTCCCCTCCTCAGCTTTGACTCCTGAACGGTTGTCCTGCCCTTCTCTTTCCTTCACTGCTACACGGCTTAAAAGAACAGTCTCAGTTTACAGCTTCAGCCTTCCCGTCAGTGTTGCAGTCATGTGCTCACAGGCCCGTACCCATTCCCTGTCGGTCTAATGCCATCTGCCCTTCTACAGTTGTCATGGGGTAACCAGCCCTATTTGCCAAACTCCTTTTAGTATTCATTCTGCTGCTTCAGATAGCTGCTGTCTTCAGATACTTGATGTTATGCTATCTTCCTTGGCGTTCACAGCCCTGTTCTTAAATTTTTTCTCACCCTCTTGGAGCCTTTTACCCTGTTCACTTGCGTAAATGTCAGTGTCCCACAGAGTTCCATCAGTGATACTGGTGTATGTTTCGCTCCCTGCATCAGCCTGAATAGCAACAGTCTTGTTTTTGTTGCTTCAGCTATTATTTCTTTTCTTTTTTAAAAAATTTGGAGATGTTTTTGCTCTAGGGAGTGTGTGCTTGCCAGAGAGACAGAAAGTGAGAAGCCACCCCCCAGGGGGGATGAGCATGTCGCAATCCCTTCTCCTCCATTCTCCTCTCAGGGTCTTGGGAACGCACACATGCCCAGCGTGAATTTAAGCCTCCAGGTCTGGGACTCAAACCTTGTCAACCACATGGGACTCCAGCAATGTAACCATTATGCCATCTGCTGGTCCCTTCAGCTATTATTTCTGTGCTAATTATTTCCAAACCTTTGTCTCCAACTGCAGCCCATCTCCTGTCCCCTTGCTTAGAAATCTTTGGTAGCTTCTGTTGGTTCAATGTTCAAGTTTTAGAATAAAAATCAATATGACATGACCTAAAAATTTTGTGTTCTACTTTGCTTGCTTGCTTTCTTTGTTTTCTTTCTTTCTTTTCCTTAATTTGGTTTGTCCCTTTGCCTCTCCTGCACACTCACCAGAGAGAAACAGAGAGAGAGGAAAAGCGAGAAAGCACTCCAGGGGCGATGGCCATGCCCCTGTTCCCCCTCTTCTGTTCTTTTTGGTTATGGATTTCTATTCTTAAAAATCTTTCCTTTTTTAATTGAACCCCACCAGTGCTTGAAGGCAGACATTCGTTTGTCATTTATCTTTCTAGCTCTAGATTATAGCATAGGGCCTAACTTATTTGACTGATGTTTATTGAATTTTAATAGTAAGGGCGTAAAGATTCCAACTGGGCGCCCGCGGTGGCATGATAGTTAGGATGCCTGGAGCCCACGTTGCCTGTTGTACAGTTTGAGCCCCAGGCTTGGCAGCTTGAAAAATATGACAGCATATGCATGTGGGTGCCCAAAATCCCCACAGGAGGGAGGAATGGAGGAAGAAGAATTGCAGCATGGCCATCCCCTCTGGGTGATCCTTTCCTGTTTCTCCCCACCACACCCCTTTATGTCTCTCTTTGGTGAGTGTACACACCCTATAGCAAATTTTTAAAAATATCTAACTGGATGTCTAGGCAGGATAGAGATAGAATGCTAATTTGGATGGGCCTGGCAGGTGGCATGGGGTTAAGGGTGTTGGACTCCCACAAGGCTGACTGCCTGGACCAGAGTCCTGGTAGACAGCTTGCGTACTCTTCCCCGCCCCCCTCCCCCTGTCAAATTGAGAAATAAATAAATCAAGTTAAATAAAATAATTCTTTTAAAAAGAAGAAAGAAGTGCTAGTTTCGATAGAAAAAAGAAGTGTTTGATGACTGAGGCTGGGAGCCACAGTTTCCCAGGTGGCCGGGGCAACTCAGTTACTTTTATTCTCCATTGTTTGGCTCTGATTAACGTTGGTCGAAAAGATCCCATCACTTTCTTAGGACCACTGGAGAGTTGAAATTCTAAAGTTCTTCATTTTTTTGGTAACATTGGTGAAATTTCTTGCTAAGAGTTCTTTAATTTTGTCACAGTTTTTGGTGAAAAATTATTTGAAGTAACTTGAAAAAACTATGTGAGTTAACTTGGGTTCTGGGAAGGTTTAAATACTGGAAATTGAGTACCTTTAGAGTGAGCATGCCTTAGAGCTGTGAAAACTTTGCTGTGGTTAAAGAGGCACAGCAAACCTTTGTTCTGTAGCTGCTTTGTAGAGGAAGGTGCTTTGCGGGGCACCGTATTCTCACATGTTCTGTTATAGTTACTGAAAGGAATGAATGTAGCCTTTTTTCTTTTCTTTTTCTCTCTCTCTCTCTCTCTTTTTTTTTTTTTTTTGTAGTTTTGCCAGAGGGTTCATGCAGTCAAGGAGAGAGACACACAGAGAGAGAAAGAGAAGCACCCCCACGGGAGATGGTCAGGCCGCAGTCCCTTCTTCTCCACCCCTCCCTCCTCTGGGGATCTTGCGCACGTGTGCACATTCACTCAGTCCGTTTCTCAAGCTGCCAGGTCTGGAACTCGAACCACATGGTCAGCCGTGTGAGATGCAGCCACCTTAGCCAACACACCACAGCTGGCCCGTGAGTGTGGCCTTACCGATCACTCCGCGGTAACTTTTAAAGCTTCTGTGTTTTTAGTATGGCCTTGAACATTTTCAGAAAATTGTAGTTACCGATAATGTTGTGCTTATGTGAACGCTTCGGATTTTGAGAAAACAGAGAGGAAACCCTTTGTAAAAGCAGACCTGGGTAAGCGTCACAGTGGAAAGGACTAAAACTAAACTGCTCTTACATTTTAGATAAAGAAATCTTGCCATTTACGTGAACTGGCCTCTCTGAATTTTACTGTGGATTGAGTGGTATAATAGTAAGGAGCTGAGGAACTCGGAGACAATAAATCCAGCCGAAATGCGGCTCTTTGTTTCAGGCGAGCATCGTAGACAGTCCTGAGTGTTGTGGGGAATTGTGGCCAGTGGGTGCGGAGGGCTGTGTGTTACAGCACGGCCCCTCGAGGCGGTTGGAACTGGATGGGCTCAGCTTAGGCTGCATTTTTCTTCAGGTCATCAAACCCATCTTAACAGCAGACCAGACTGTAATGATTCACTCTCCGGTTTTATTCTGAGTGCTCACTATTTCCTTACTTATGACAGGTGTATTATTTTAATTTTGTCCTTCTGTAGTGCCGCTGGAGGGGAAATCTTCGACCAGTGTGTTGCAGAGAGAGAAGATGCCTTTACAGAAAAAGATGTCCAAAGACTCATGCGACAGATTTTAGAAGGCGTTCACTTTTTACACACTCATGATGTAGTTCATCTTGACTTGAAGGTAAGAGCTGAATCACTTTACATTTTCGAGGTTGCTAAACAGTGACGCTCCAGATGTAGAATACTGGGCCATCAGAAAAGTCATGACGTCTTTTTCTCTATTTTTTTCTTTTCTTTTTTTTTTTTTTTTTTAGCGGTTTTTGCTATAGGGCGCGCACGCTCACCAGACAGAGACAGAGAGACAGAAAGCGAGAAATCACCCCCCAGGGGAGATGGCCATGCCGCAATCCCTTCTCCATTCTCCTCTCGGGATCTTGGGCATGCACGCACATGTGCCCGGTGTGAGTTTTAAGCCACCGGGTCTGGGACGCGAACCGCGGTTGACTATGGGAGTCCAGCGACATAGCCATTACGCTAACTGCTGGTCCCCATGATGTCTTTTTCTATGTTTTCCTATATAAATAATGCGTCACAAACTTTTCCGACCACCCGATATTTAACAGTGATTTATTCAAACGTGTATCAGACTTCTGTGTTTCATTAGGTTACCAGAATTTTAGAATTTTAAATATTGACTCTTACCTCTAGCCAGTTTTATAAGGGAGCTTATGCCGCTGAGTGTACGTGGAAAGATAAGTAATGATCCAGTGCTAGAACGTGGTTCACAGAACCTGCTGGTGGAGGCTAAGACTTCTTGTTGGAAATAGTGCTAGACCTAGACCTTTTCTAAAGTTAGGATTAAGCTAGAGAGGAATAAGAGAAAATTACCTCGAAGATTAGGAAATTTGTGATGCATGTGGGCAAATAAATGGGATAGTGTTATTGGAATTGAGAGATTAAGTAGGAGATCAATTGAAAATTGAGAAGGGGCCAGACTCCAAGGATTTCACATGTCATGAAAAGAGAGATGATCTCTGAGCAGAACTATTTGAAAAGCAGTATTTTGGAAAATGGGGCAGGTAACAGTAAATAAAATAAATGGATAGAATTAAAGAGATCAGAAAAAAGTTAGATTTCTAATTTTAAATTATCAAAGAAAGAAAAGGAGGCGGAAGGAAACGAAGACAGCGTGTCAGATGTGATCCTCCTGAGTGAATCGGGACATCTGCCAAAACTCGGGAAAGCCAAGAGAGGACATTTTCCTGGTTTTAAAAGTCCAGGGATAGTTCTAATCTCAGTTCCGACAGTATTTGGGGCTTGGAAGCTGTTGCCAATACTCGATTTTTCTCCAGCTCTCAATTCTGCCCTCTGTGAATGGCAGGAACGTGGCAGTGAGGTAGCCGCTGCCCCGAGACTCAGCCGAAAAAAAGAAAGAGCCAGTCTCTGCTCACACCTTTTTCAGAAGTCTTGAAGAATATTTTTGATTAGATGAGCTTAGGGCAACCCGGAACTAATAAATGTGCAAAGGGGGTTCAGGGCTCTGACCTTCTGGACCATCATCATTGGTGTCACATGCTCCAGCCTCATCCCAGCTTTTCCTGATACATGAACTGAGCCAGGCGACGGCATGGATGCTCAAAGTGCTGTTTCTCAGAGGACAGAGAACGGGGCTGAGGAGACAGAGAGCAAAGCTCCACTGTGGGGGCGTTCTGAGTCTGTCCTGCAGGCGTCTGTGGTAGAGAAGTTTGAGATCCTGTCTGTTTTCTGACACTTTGATATCAAGTCCACATGTAGCCGTGGAGAATGAAACCATTCTCTAACAAAGAACATACCAGAGACTCTAGTTCCTAGTGATTATTCCACGTCACCTCATCACCCAGAACGGGTGGGCTGAGGAAGGAAGGTACCCTCAAGTGCTAACGCCCCAGTCTACCTTGACCTCTGCTGCAGTGTAGCCTCTAGCAGAAAGTAGATACTTGGTGACAGGTTCTCCTACGCACAGCAGAATCTCCCAGGAGGGCTTGTTAAAAGCAATTGCTAGGCTTCTGATGGGAGGGTAGGGCCAGGTGATTCTGATGCCATGGGCCCAGGAAGAGGTTGTCTGCAGCTAATGGACGAATACTTTAAGAAGCCTGGGTTAACGTTAGTCATGCAGAAGAATTCTCCCCCTGCCCGAGTGTTGGCGTATAGCCTTTCTCGTGTTTGGTTTTATACTCAGCTTTGTAAAGTCACATGTTTGTTTGTATTGGTGTTTTACTAATTTCATGATATAAAAAGGACTTTAAGAACAGAGCCTCAACAGAATATGGCATAGGAGATGAAGCTTTCAGTTTGTGACGCTCAGCCGATGGCCATTATTCAGGAACTGATTAAGTAGTGAGCCAGGCAGGGTACCCGCACCGTGTGTCATGGGTCTTTGATGTTACTTGAAAGCGGTCGAAGGTAGGCATTATGTTCTTGAGTACCAGTTTCAGCTGTGTATTTACACGAGGAAATTATAGCCCTTTCTCCCTAGTACACTCAGTATAAATCACACTCCTTTCTCGACAAGACACTTGGTGTAGACTTTTTCCAGCTTTAACGGAGGCCTCGATGACGACAGTGGCCTTTGATCCTGGAAACTGGAGTCTCCGTGTTTCCTAGACTCAGAAGAGGTAGAATACCAGGTGATCTGAAACGTCCGCAGCCTTTCCTCCGCCTCCCACGTCGCCACGTGAACTGGAGGGAGAGGACAGAGTGGGTGCTGCTGTGGCATTAGAGCGATTGCTACCAGAGGGGGATTTCCAGTTGACCTCTCTGTGTCTGAACAGACAGCTATCTCCGCGGTGAAAATTCATGGTTACGATGTTGACCCTCCGTCTCTAGAACAGCTCTCTACACTGCTTCAAAGCTACATACATTTTCTTAAGTCTTAATTCTGTGAAAATTGATAACCCCAAAATATAGGATCAGTCTGAGTTACTTTTAGTCTCTATTGTAGATAAAATGGGAAAATCATGGGACCAGCAGTTAGGGTAATGGCTATGTTGCTGAGCTCCCATGTAGTCGACCATGGTTTGGGGTCCCAGATCTGGTGGCTTAAACTCATGCCGGGCATGTGTGCGTGCGTGCCCAAGTTCCCGAGAGGAGAATGGAGGAAAAGGGATTGCAGTGTGGCCATCCCCCCTGGGGGGTGATTTCTCGCTTTCTGTCTCTCTGTCTTTCTGGTGAGTGCACGTGCCCTTTAGCAAAAACCTCTCACAAAAATTTAAAAAAAAAAGGGAAATTCATGTCCCATGAAAATATTAATGTTATTTAGAAGTTAGAATAGCTGTCATAGTTGCCACTATAAAAGAGACAGAGTAATCCCACTCTTTTAAAAAATAATTATTTATTTAATTTTATTTATTATTATTATTCAATTTGAGCGGGGTTGGGGAGACGGAGGGAGGGTGGAAAAGGCAAGCTGCCAGTCCAGGACTTGAACTACGGTCAGCCATGTGGGAGTGCCTTAATCACCACACCACCTGCTGGCTCCAGTAATCCCACTCTTAACCTTAGGGGACATTCCAAGATAGCATGGGTAGTACTGATGCTACTGTCATGTTTTTTCCTGTAATATCGACCTGTGATAAAGTTTAATTTATACATTAGGTATAGTAAGATTAACAACAGTAATATTTGAAATAGACCAGTTATAACAGTATACTATAATATAAATTAGGGGAAGAACATGGTATCTCTCTCTCTCTTTCACTCTCGAAATACTTACTCTGGGGCCAGCCAGTGGTGTGTGGAGGTTCAGGCAGCTGGATTCCACATGGTCGACTGAGCGGTTAGAATGTCCAGTCTGGCGACTTGAAAAATAATGCCAGCCGCATGTGCGTGCACCGAGTCTCAAAGCAGAGAGCGGAGGAGAAGGGATTGCAGTGTGACCATCTCCCCTGGGCAGTGGTTTCTCTCTCTCTGCCTCTCTGGTGAGCACATGTACCCGGTAGCAAAATTTTTCAGAAATTGACTTGTAGGAGACCGCAATTGACCATGTGTAACTAAAGCCACAGGTGTGGAACCGTGGATTGGTGGAGTGGGGGGAGCTTCTGTGATTACTATGGGAAATACTCTCTCGGCTCTAGTGTAGACCCTGACAACCAGTTTGCCGAAAGACTGATTCACTGAAGACTCAGCCAGATAGATTAAGCGTGGAAAATTCTTTGAGGAGTAGGATGCAGTTTAGCCCACAAAAGTGAAAAGACAAGCCATGATCAAGGGAGAGCCCATCTGTTTAACATAAAATGGTGCAGGACTGACAAATGGGTGAAACAGCCACTCCAGCAAAGTGAGAACAAAAGTGTAAGTCTCAGAATGGCCTCAGTCATCTGGGGCGTTGGTCACTCAGCATAGTGGCCTGCTCTGCTTCAGTCAGGGCGAGGACGGACCGAAAATGGCACAAAGAAGTCCAGTCTTAAAATCCAGTGCTTTTGTCTTCAGAGGTGCCCTGCTGGTCGGTCTCTCGGCAGTGCTAGTAGGAGCTGCTCCATGTCTGCCCTGTTACAGACATGGTTAAAAGTGGTCTAGACGCTGCAACTTGCACCTTTGAGATTTACATCGAATCACTGAGCGTAAGCGTCATCAGTATAATTACTTCAGAGCCCAGAATCCTGGTGGGCTGGAGAGATGGGGGAAGGAGATTGTGGTGTGACCGTGCTCCAGTGGGCGCTGCTTTCTCTCTCTCCCCCTCCCTTCCTCTCTCCCTCACTCTAGTGAACACACATGCCCACTGACAGTCGAATAAAGTTAAAAAAATTAAAACAAAACAACCAAAATCTTTGTCCATGGCTTGACCATGCTCCATTAGGGGGTGCTTTCTCTCTCTCTCCCCCCCCCTCCCTCTCTCCCTCGCCCTAGTGAACACACATGCTCATTGACAGTCAAATAAAGTTTAGAAAGTTTAAAAAAACTTCTTCCATGGCTTGACCATGTTCCATTAGTGGCTGCTTTCTTTCTCCCTCCCTCCCTCCCTCCCTCTCTCTGTCACTCTAGTGAACACACATGCCCACTGACAGTCAAATAAAGTTAAAAATTAATTTTTTTTTCCCATGGGGCTGGCAGGGGCCTGATGGTTAAGGCATCTAGACTCTCACATGGCTGACCATGGCAGACCTGGTAGCTTGCTTGCTTTCTCTCTCTGTCTCTCTCTCTCTCTCTCTCTCTCTCCCTTCCTCCCCCCTCTGGTCAACTTCAAGAAAAAAAAATAATAATAATGGCAATGAACCAAATCAAATAAAATAATTCTTAAAAAAAAAAAAAAGAAAGAAAGAAAGAAAAAGAAAACCTTGTCCGTGGTGCCGATTCCTTAAACCTTATTGACGAAGTCAATGGAAACTTGACAGCGATCTTCACTAAGCCACTAAATCGTGCGCAGTGGCGATTGTTCAGGAGACATTCACTGGGCTGTGTTCAGAGATGAGGTACAGGTAAATAGCAGGATTCCCCGTGAGAAGGGCACTCAGCCCTGGGAAACCTCCCTGTGGCCACTGCCTATTTGAGGGCTGTCTGCGTCTTCCGATGCTCACTGCTGCCACTTTCCATTGGACAGCCTTCTGTCTCCCTTACTGCCTGGGGTGCTTTGAGTGTTTTGTTTTTTTTTTTTAAGGTTTTTACCATAGGCCCCAACTCGCTCTTGCTCTCGCTTGCTTGCTCTCTGTGAGAGGGAAAAAAAAACAACCAACCTTGTCTGTGATACTTTAAATCTTATTGAGCAAGTTAATTTAAACTCTGTGAGAGAGAGAGAGAGAACTCAACCTCCCCCGGGTGGGGTGGGGGGTGGCCACACCCACAGTTCATTCTTCTCCTGGGAGTTTGGGCACTCACACACACATGTTCAGTGTGATTTTCAAGCCGCCTGGTTCAGAACTGGAAAACTGTGGTCAGCCATGTGGGGATCCCTCTCCGCAACCACCATGCCACCTGCTGGGATTCGTGCGTTGTGAGCAGAGTTGGGTCCTGTGTGCTATAAGTTCTTTGTCCTGTGCCAGATTCCCTAGAGAGATTTAACTAAACTGTAAATGCTAAGGTGCTTATCTTTGTTTTCAGCACCTATGTTTTACCTCCTTGGAAGTAAGTATATTATACCATCAAAGAACTGGTAGATTATAGTATTGTAATTGAACTTACATTTTATTTAGAGGAGTAAATTGTTGTATTTTTAAAAGTAGCTCTGAAAAAAAAAAACAGTACACAATTGGTAGAAGCTATATAATAAACATTAATGTGAAATTCTGTGAAATGTCTCTGGTTTTGTGAGACTTGTGTCTTTTGCAAGCAGCCTCTCTTTCAAGTGTTTAACTTCATTTTCTAAAAAAGACCTTTGTTATAGCGTAAATTAGTGTGATTGAGCGTAGGTTTATTTTCTTCTTTTTTTAAAAATCTGTCAGAGGATGCGTGCACTTGCCAGAGAGACGTGGAAGTGGGGCAGGGAGGAAGAATGTGCACCTCACTGGGGATGGTCATGCCATAGTTTCTCCTCCCTCTCTCCCTCTTTTTGGAATCTTGGGCATACACGCACATACGCCCGGCATGTTCCTGCAGCCACCGGGTCCAGAACTCCAACCGCTGTCAGCCATGTGAGATCCAACTGCCTTAACCACCACGCCACTGTCTGGCCCAGGCCGAGATGTCTAACACCAAACAGCTTTCATATGTAGATCTCATTAATTGGGGATGTACAGTACTACCACCAAGCTAGTGGTATTACCTACCTACCACCAGCTAGGTAGTTCCCACCTAGCTGCAGACGTACCACGTGCCTCGTTTCCCTTGGCTCGGTGACGCTCAGTCACACTGAGGCTTCCATGTTTTACTCCCATACGTGCCCTGCTCCCGCTCACCAGAATCTTTGTCTACAGTGTCCCTTCTACTAGTGTCAGCTTGGTGAGGAGAACTGGGGTGATGTGAAACAGACAATAGCTATTTCCAATCACGTGACAAGCAGTCATATAAAAAAGGAAATCGAGGCACAGATGGTTCCCTTCTTTAAACAGGATTTTATTGTCTCCCCAGCCATCCATCCTATTCTTTCATATTGTGCAAATGCTCTTAGATTTATTAAAGTCTGAACTCAGACACACAGTGGGAGAGTCTACTGCTCTCGGAGGGCACGGGCTAGTGTCCATCACTGTCCTCACCAGAGGGAGAAGCGAGGAGAGCGGAGTGACCGAAGATGGCTCCTAACATTCGCTACCTGATGGACGATCGTAGCATTCACCAGGATGCTTGTCAGTGGCATAAGGAGGATTCGAGTTAGGAGGGAAAGTAAGAGTCTGCTTTGCGTCATGTTGAATTTGAGGTGTCCTTGAGACTCAGAGGGAAATATTAAGTAAGCCATTAGTTGAAGAAATCTGAAAAAGATGAGAGTTTGTGAGTCAGGGATAGATGGTAATTAAGCATGGGATGCAGGTGGATCACATCAGGTGAGAGTGCAGGTTGAGAAGAGGGAAGAGCCACATGACTAAGCTGTGACCCTGTGGGTTGGGACCCCCGGGTAGGCCTGAGGGCTCACGTTTCGAGGTCCCGGTGAGTTGTAGTGAGATCTGTCAAGGATGCTTCTTTCTGTCACCCTCGTGTGTATGCTCTCATGAGTAAAATAAATAAACCTTGGGACCAGCCGTTAGTGGAATGGCTATGTCACTGGACTCCCATGTAGTTGACTGCGGTTTGAGTCCCGGACCCTGTGGCTTAAACTCACACCAGGCGTGTGTGCGTGCGTGCCCAAGATCCCGAGAGGAGAATGGAGGAGAAGGGATTGCGGCGTGGCCATCCCCCCTGGGGGTGATTTCTCACTTTCTGTCTCTCTGTCTTTCTGGTGAGCACATGCGCCCTATAGCAAAAACCCCTTCAAAAAAAGAGCCAAGCGTGCATGCATGTGTGCCCAGGATACTGACATGGCGGAAAACTGGAGGCAAAAAGGATTGCAGCATGACCAGGCCCTGTTGGGGGAACATTTTCTCTTTCGTATCCTCTGGCATGGGAAAAACAAAGAAATTTGCCAGGGTGAGAAGGCAGGAAGGCTTCCGAAGCAAAGGCAATGTGAGTGCAGAGAGTGTGTGTCTTGTTTAGGGATCACAGCCTGTTTGATTTGGAACATAGATCGGCCGTGGCAGTGACGGGATATTAATCTAGAAAAGAAAACAGACCAAATCTTAAAACCCTCTGAGTGCGATGGTGAGGGATCTAATCTATGAGTGCCAGAGCTTCTCCGCTTACCTTCGGACATGTTCTCAGTGTTAGCGGCAGTAGGGGCAGACCCTTTCTGAAGCAAACACACGTTTTCTTTTAAATCTCTTTTTAAAATTATAAAGGATTTTACATCCTAGCCCATAATATATCTGCTTGTCATTTTATGTAAAAATGTCTTGGATTACTTTGCATTGGGTGAAAGTGACTCTAGGAATTAGCTCATCAACAATCTTGATCCTGTTGCTTCGGAGGCTCCTGCCCATCACCACGTGCCTGGGCTCCTCCCCATTTCAGAGCGTGCCTGTTGGTGGTGAGCGGCCACCGTAGGGAGATTGCCGCGACCACGTTTGTGCTGTGGGAAGGATATTGTATGGCACGGTGGAGGATGGGGCCACGGTGGGGAGAACTGGGAGGCTGGCCTGGGTAAGAAATAATAAAGGCCTGGTCTTTAAGCCGTGGGGATACTGATATTCGGGATATGGAATTGGCATGATTAGCGAGTTCAGTAGGCATGGAGAAGAAAGGCAGCAGCACTGCACGGTGTTTCCCTGGGGTTTTGTTCGGCTGTCCAGAAAGTCGAGACATATTTTTCTGTTTCTGTGCAAAAACACATCACAACTTTCCAGACAACCCAGTACTTCGGCATTGTAAGTGGGAATACGAGGGAGTAGCGGGGTGTGCACGTGCTGTGCAGAAAGAGGCCCAGGGCCGTGGAGGAGATCGCTTTTGAAGTGGTCTGGTTTTACAGTGGGGAAGGAACTCTTCACATGCCGAGGCAGAGCCAGTGTAGGGGGGACGCTGGAAGGAGAATACGAAGCCTGCTGCTTTACATGTAGGAAGTGCATTATCAAAGCATTGAAGAGTGCACTTCCTTTTAAACCCTGAATCTCACTTCCATAGGTAGAATTGGTATGTCTTGTGAGCTACATGTGTCGTGTGCTTAGTCGTGGTTGTATTGATTTTAGATGGGGGTGTTTTTTTTAGCCTCAGAATATTCTGCTGACAAGTGAATCTCCGTTGGGTGACATCAAGATCGTTGATTTTGGCCTTTCAAGAATAATGAAGAACAGTGAAGAGCTCCGAGAAATCATGGGTACTCCTGAATATGTGGGTGAGTACTCACAAAAGTGGGATGTTTGTATTTGGGGTCAAGCATTACCTTCATCAGGGAACTCATGTGGCATGTTTCAGAGTGAGGCCAGCCACCTGCTATCAGAGATCAGTTCTTTAGATTAAATTTGAAAATAGGAGACTTTTTAAATTAGTGATCCCTTTCCTACAGGGCTAAGATAATTTGAAAGGATTTCTCCTAAGAGGCGTAGAAGAGGGTTCTTAAAGTGAGACTCAGCTTATCTGAGGATGGGACCAGCTAGAGAGATTGATTGGTGGTAAACATTGGGAAAGGAATTGCCAAGCCTGGGGCTCTGTACACACGTGGAGCAGAATTCTTTCACTTGGCTCCAGGCAAGGTTGAGGGCTTGTAGGAATTGCCAAGCCTGGGGCTCTGTACACACTTGGAGCAGAATTCTTTGACTTGGCTCCAGGCAAGGTTGAGGGCTGAAAGAAAAAGGAGCATAAACATTGAAAGTAGCAGACAGAGAGCAGCTCATGCACCATGGGTCTAATTGGGGGAGAAAAAGAAATAAACTAGACTTTATTATGTTTTGAAGAAAAATGGGAGTTGGAAGGATTAGTGGTCTCAACAATGTTTAAAAAACAAAAGGTCTGTGGCAGAGTAAAGCTGTGTACTGGAGATGGTGACCAGAGATTGGAAACCTTTTTACCATTAAAAATATCAGTGGTGGGGACCAGCAGTTCGTCATAATGGCTGTGTCGCTGGACTCCCACGTAGTTGACCACGGTTCGCTTCCTGGACTCGTTGGCTTAAACTTACGCCAGTGCATGTGTGTGTGTGCCAAGATCCCAAGAGGAGAATGGAGGAGAAGGCATTGTGACATGGCCATCCCCCCTGGGGGTGATTTCTCGCTTTCTGTCTCTCTGTCTCTCTCTCTCTTTCTGGCGAGCGCACACACCCTAACCCCCCCCCCGCCCCCCCCCCAAAAAAAATCCAACCAGTAACAAAAGAAAAAGTCAATAAGGCCAAAAAAAAAATTGGACATCCTCAAATGATTTGCATTGTGGAGAAAGGAAACAAAGCTGCATGTATAGAGTTGAGAAAATGATGTTTCGATAACATACTTAACTAAATGGCTGCTACAATAAAGCAATAGAAAAATACCTTCAAAAAAGTAAGGACACTGAAGAAGTATTATGAAAACTATCCCTGGGAAAACAAAAATCTACTTAAAATCCAAGTTAACCAAAGGTGATTTTTTTCCCAAAAAATATGCTAACAGGGAGACTAAATCTAGGAAAACTAAATACAGAGCCAGACACACATAGTTTCTGTGTATATAAAACTGTGGGAGCCATAAGCTCACCTATTTAAAGGCAAGACAGAGAAAGAAATAGATAAGAATCCCTCTGTGTTACATACTTCTGTATTATTTTTAGGATTTTTTTTCTAGATTGAGCTGGTACCACTTTATAAAAAGAAAAGAATTATTTGATTTAACTTCATTTTATTTATTTAGTTTAATTTGGCCAGAGAAAGACAGAAAGAGAGAGAGAAAGTAAGAAAGCAAGCTACCAGGTATGGGACTCGAACCTCAGTCGAACATGTGAGAGTCCAGCGACTTTAACCACTACACCACATGCTGGCCCTGAGCTGGTACCACTTTTATGAAGATCTGTTTTTTGGGGGGAGAAAAGGTTATTGGTAAAAAATTTAGAATTCACCAAGAACGTAAAGTATGTGTATATACATATACATATATATATGTGTACATTTCATTTGGGGCAGTAACTGTTGTTTTCATATTAATATTCCTGATCATAACCCTTCATTCTGCAGTTTCCTGTATCTCATGTAAGTTGCAATGCTACCCCTTAAAATTGTCTAAAACAGGTTGCGTTTTCACTAAAGGAACCGAGTTAAGCCACATTCCTAAAGCCAACTTAGCCGTCATAATGAAGTATTTAGAAATGGGGCCAGCAGGTTAAGGCGCTGGACCCCCACATGGGCAACCGTGGTTTGAGTCATGGACGCTGCCTTTACATTCACACCGGGCGTGTGTGTGTGTGTGCGCCAGAGGTTTTTGCTATAGGGCGCGTGCGTTCGCCAGAAAGAGACAGAGAAACAGAAAGTAAGAAATCACGCCCCAGGGTGTGATGGCCACGCCACAATCCCTTCTCCTCCATTCTCCTCTCGGGATCTTGGGCACTCACGCACACGCACCCGGCGTGAGTTTTAAGCCACCAGGTCTGGGACACGAACCGCGGTCGACTACGTGGGAGTCCAGCAGCATAGCCATTACGCTAACTGCTGGTTCCCATGTTCAAAGGTTTTTAAAATACAAGGACTCAACAATGAAGAATGGAATGTGAAAATATACAAGTTCATCGTAAACATATAGACTTTTGGTTCACTCACGATGCTAACTTATATCATGTTAGCCCAAATGTTGGCAGTGCCTATAGTTTTAATACTCATTTTAACAGTGTTTATCTCTAAGAGCAGGTTAGGATTTTTTTTTCCTGCCCCACAGAACTGTTTTCTTCTGTTTCTGATTCTAGCTCCTGAGATCCTTAGTTACGATCCTATCAGCATGGCAACAGATATGTGGTAAGAGCCATTTCTCCAACTTCGATCAGATTTGTTTTAAGAAATGAATATGGCACTAATTTATCTTTGTCCTTTCTGGTTCAGGAGCATTGGAGTGTTAACGTATGTCATGCTTACCGGAATATCACCTTTCTTAGGTGATAGTAAACAAGAAACATTCTTGAATATCTCACAGATGAATTTAAGTTATTCTGAGGAGGAATTTGATGCTGTGTCCGAGTCAGCTGTTGACTTCATCAAGACACTGTTGGTTAAGAAACCCGAGTAAGTATTCGGTAATATTGATCTTTGTCAGTTCTCGAGAGATCTTCCAACAAAAGCAGTTCAGCAACTGAGAACCAAAGTGAAAAGGAAAATGTAGTCATAAACTAGATGAAACCCTTGGCTGAGTAAATCTGTTGAAAGAAAACATGGCAAAAATGAAAATATTTGTAGGGACTGTGAATTGCATCTCAATATAGCGAGATTTAAACATTCTTTAAGGCAGGCACATTATTGCAGGTGTGCTGTGGGCGGGTGGCATCGTAGCTCACGGTTAGCAGAAATTGCTGAGGAGATGGCAGCTGAGCCTTTCAGTGATTCCCACCTGTTCTTGGTCTCACAAGAGCTTTTTGGACTTACCTTACCTAAAATGCTACTTTTCAGTGTTGTGGGGAATTGCACCCAAATTCCAAAATTTCTAGTTTTACTCAGGAATGACAGTAAGGTTATTGCCAACTTGTCGTCCTTCTCACAATAAATACAATAAGTAAGGCTTTACTTTTTCATTGAAGTTTCCGTGTTGTCACAAGTGTGAAATGTGCATCTTTACAGAGATCGAGCCACTGCCGAAGAATGTCTCAAACACCCATGGCTGACTCAGAGCAGTGTTCAGGATCCTCTTTTCAGGATGAAAGTGGCATTAGAAGAAACAAACGCCCTCCAAGAAAATGGTTCTGAGAAAACAGAAAATGATGCGGAGAGAACAGAAACCGAGGAATCAGTTGTAACAGAGGAGTTAATTGTAGTTACTTCCTATACCCTAGGACAATGCAGACAATCTGAAAAAGAGAAAATCGAGCAAAAGGCCATTTCCAAACGATTCAAATTTGAGGAACCTTTGTTACAAGAAATTCCAGGAGAATTTATCTACTGAGCAGTGTTTCCCGTTAGGACTTTAAGATTTCTACATTAAAAATGTTAATATTATTTATGGACCTCTGGCCAAATGGTGCATGCACTGGAAATGAGTAAGCAGGTATCACCAATAGGAACAAGAATAACTTGGTCAAACTTGTGCAGTTAGTAAGTCAGCCAGATTTATGAAGTTGCACACCAGGAGGTTCACCTGGTAAATATGTCAGTGTTTTGAATTTTTTTTAAGAAGGGAGATGTTTGCACCTTCTAGTCCTGCATCCTTTTTCTCCAGAATGAGACTGTGTGCAAAGATATTTATACTCATGTTCTTTGAAAATAGAAATAAAAGTGCCAAAATTGTATCTCTGTAAATCTCTTGCATTTCTTGTATGTATATCCGTATGCTGATATCTTTACTAAAATTGATACTTTTTTTTACTTTGGATGGTCTTTTATTGGGGGCAAAATTTTAATTTAAGTAGACATCTGAACTTTTGATACCTAGAATAACATTCATTATAATTTGACAAGTCTTATTTTTATATTTTATTACTGCTTTATATTGATTTGATTTGGCTTCTGTTGTCTGTTTTTGCCTAATGCCTGTAAGCTATGGGCGAGGAACCTTGGCTGCATTTGGTTTTCAAAGTTCCTAGTAAGAAAGGTAGCGATTTTTCACTCTGAAATGACTCACGTTTTCAAGGTCAGAAGAGCAATCACGGTTACTTCCATGCTTAAGTAAATCCTCTGATGTCGAATGGCTGCTTCCCCTCGTCCACCACACTCACCTCCACTCACCTCCTTTTTCACAGCCGACACCTCCTACCGCTTCCTCACTCCTCTTCTCATACGTGTCCCTTTATTTTGGTCACTTGGAAATGTCACTGTGATCTGAGTGAACACTGGTTTGTCATTAAAAAGATGTTTTTGTATTGTTTTTCTCCCAAAGTTAATAAAACCCCTGAAAGCAGGCAAGGGAGAGAGAGCATGTTGTATCTTTATAATATTTGTATGGGCTCAGCCTGTTTCTTTGTTTTGTTTCTGTTTTATATCAGCCTTCAAAATATGCTAGGAAGTTAAAACTGCCTAATTATAAACCTTTATCCATAAAAAAAAAAAAAAAAAAACTAACCTGACATTACATGCTTTGTCACTGGGAAGGGACTTTGTTGTAAAAAGAACTTGGTCCAATACGTCAGTTGTACCCAGGCCCCATAAGTGAACGGTAGATTCCAAAAAAGTGGAAATGTAGAAGTGTATGCGGCATCATTTGAACTAACTAAATACCCTTCTCATGCGAAAAATGTCTGAGAGTCTTTATTTAGCATTTACCAGGCTGTGTGTTGCGTCTCTGTTGATGCACCTTGTCTGTTACCTGCCCTGCCCTGGCCTGTGTCAGGTATTGTGAACAACTCACATCTATCCCTTCAATGTTTGAAGGTGTCACTCCAGGCGCTCTCTTCGCACATGTAAAAATCATGTGATAGCGTGTAACGGCCTGTGTTGAAGTGTGTGCAGTGTACTGTGCTAGACATTTGCGCAAGTGGTCAGGAATCCCGGCGACCGCCCCGTGACCCAGCCAGAGCTCCTGGTGTGTAGGTACCATTAGATGCAGTGGCAGCTCACACTGTCAGACTGCTGTTTGCACACTAAGTTGCCTTCATTTATAGTTTCTTAGAAACTAGCTTTTCTGTGATGTTGTTCCCTTGCGTTTTTTCAATGACCGGAGCAAACATGCGCTCGCCGGAGGGTGAGGGAAGGAAGCACACCCCCAGCAGAGTGTGGTCACTGTGCAATTCCTTTTCCCCATTTCTGCATCCTGTCGGGATTTGGGACATGCCACGTACATGTGCCCATTATGTTTTCCAAGCTGCCAGGGCCAGGATTTGAACAGCGCTCAGCCATGTGAGATTCACTCCCTTAACTGCTAGGCCATGGGGCCAGCCTGGAAACTAGTATTTCTAAACACGCTTTAGAAGGGGGAAGAGAAAATTCTTCTACAGTGGCAAGTGTTTCGGTGAAAACCCATGGCCAGGCCACAATGTCAAGCCTCAGGTTACATCTTGAAAAAAGTAGAACGCAGTTTTATATTTGCATAAATATCCGACGAAAATAGGGGCAAGGTGAGAGGGGGCTAAAACACCCACGAATGAATGGCACATACAGTACTTGAACGATTTGTTCATTTGAAAATTATTATTATTATTATTATTTTTGCCAGAGGGCATGTTTTTGCCAGAGATCAGTGCAGGTGTGTTTGTGGGGGGGATGCTGTGGTGCGTGTGCCCCCCACCCCACCCCCAGGAAACAGCCACACTGCAGTCCCTTCTTTACGTCTCTCTCCTTTGGGGATGTGGGCAGGCACACACACGTGCCCAGTGTGTTTCTCATGCTGCTGGGTCTGGGATTTGAGCCACACAGCCAGCCATGTGGGAGCCAGCTGCCTTAGCCACTATACCTTGAACTGGCTGGTTCCACACAGCCAGCCATGTGGGAGCCAGCTGCCGTAGCCACCATACCTAGAACTGGCTGGCCCCTAGTTGGGCTTTTTAAACCATTTTATATTATAATACATCACTGTACTTGTGGAAAATACGTATTTCCTCTTAGCCAGCCACTGTGCATTTTGCTGCGTATCTTCAGCTGCTTTTGCACCTTAAAAGAAGCCTTCTGGGGCCAGCAGTTAGCGTAATGGCTACGTCGCTGGACTCCCATGTAGTTGACCACCGTTCGAATCCCAGACCCAGTGGCTTAAACTCATGCCGGGCGTGTGTGCGTGCGTGCCCAAGATCTTGAGAGGAGAATGGAGGAGAAGGGATTGCAGCATGGCCATCCCACTAGGGGGGTGCTTTCTGTCTGTCTGTCTGGCAGGCACACACACCCTATAGCAAAAACCTCTCCAAAAAAAAGCCTTCTGAATATAAAGATAGACAGGGCTAACAGATGGCATAGTGGTTACATCACAGGTCTCCCATGTAGTTGACTGCTGTTCGAGTCGCAGACTGGGTGGCTTAAAACTCACACCAGGTGTGTTTACATGTGTGCCCAAAATCCCAGGAGGAGAATGGAGAAGAGATTGCAATGTGATCACTTCCCCTGGGGGATGATTTATTGCTTTCTGTCTCTCTGTATCTCCAGTGAGTACACGCATCCTATAGCAAAAATCTCTTAACAAAAAGCGGGACCAGCAGATGGCATAATGGTTACACCACTGGATTCCCATGTAGTTGACCTCGGTTTGAGTCCTGGACCCAGCGGTTTAAACTCATGCTGGGCATGTGTGCGTGCATGTCCAAAATCCTGAGAAGAAAATGAAGAGATTGTGGCGTGGCCACCCACCCTGGGGTGTGTAGGGGGGGTGATTTCTCACTTTCTGTCTCTGTCTCTCTTTCTCTGGAGAGCACGTGAACCCTATGTATGGAAGAAATTTTACAAAACAAACATTTTTTAAAAATTTAATACAGCTGAATAAATGAGATTTCAAAAAGTTATGGAGAAATGGGATTAAAATAATTTATTTTGGTGCATTAAAAGAAACTATGTATGGTTTTATCATATGCATTTTCTATGAACTTTTATGAAGACACCCCTCCAATGTCATCCACCACCTACTACCTTTGTAAGGTTGTAAGATTCAAAGTGCTAAATTTAAAAGCCTTAATCTGAACCTCAAGAGCCTTAATCTCTATTTTGTTTTGTGAACGAAGGGAAATACATGTTTCAGTATATCGACTTACAGTGCAACGTAGATGCGTGCATCTCATCAGGCGTCCCCGCTGCACACACTCCCTGCCCTGTGCTCCTGCCCTCTGTGGTGTCTGAGCCTTCCTGACCTCCAGTTCATGTAGCTGGAATCATGCAGCGAGTGCACTCTGGCTTCAGAGCCTTTAACTGCCACGCCACCTGCTGGCCCCTCGCTTCTGGCTTTTATTCAGCAGCATGTCTGTGAGATCCACGCTGAGGCCTGTACCAGTGTCTGTTCTTGTATATTGCTGTGCAGCGCTGTTTGAACATACCACAGGTTTTTATACTTCTGTTCTGGACCCCTGTGCCATTTCAGTCTAGTTATAAATAAAGCTGCTGTAAGTATTTTTGTATACAAATTTTTGTGAACATGATTTCATTTCTTTTCAATGAAAAAGCTAATAGTATGGGGCCAGCAGGCCAGTAGGCGGCATGGTGGTTAAGGCGCTGGACTCCCACATGGCCAGCCATGTATTCAGGTCCTGGATCTGATCTCACTTTTCTTTCTGTCTCTGGTCATATTTAAATTAAAAATAATAAATAAAAAGCCAGTAGTAGGTTTGCTTGATCTTAGGGTACATGTATACTTAAACATTTTAAGACATTGCCCAATAATTTCCCAAAGTAGTTTCACTCCTTGCCCTGCCCGACGGCACAGTGCGTGAGAGCTCTGGTTGCTTCCATCCTTGCCGACTGCTGTGGTGTGTGTGTGTCCCCAAAATGCCTGTGTTGAGATTGGTTGTAACAGGGCAAAGAGGGTGAGAATGTACTCAGACTATGGTGTTGAAAGGTGGGCCTTTTGGTAGAGATTAGGATTAGGGTCGCTAGGGCAGTGCCCAGTAATTGACTGCTGGTTATAAGAGGAAATGAGACACACACCCTGTTACTCTCCTGCCCTGGGGTGCTGTAAGACCTCCACCAGATATAGCCCCCGACCTTGGAGCCCAGAGCTGTACGCAGAAGGAACTATTTCTACAAATCACCCAGTTCAGGTATTTTCTGTTATTAGTGAGGACAGAAATCTGACTACTGTTTCCTGTTCCCAAAATCCTTTCTAGAGGGTCTGGGAGCCTACATTAATGTCAAGTAAGCCTTATCTCTCTTAAACGTAAATCGCATTCTTTTGCTGATCTCTTCCGGAACACAGATCTCCCTTGCCAGTCGCAACTTAAGAATTTCAAACTTACCTATAAACCTACAAGCCTTCACTTCCAGATGTCCCACCTTTTGGGGTCAGGCCAATGTAAAAGACTCCTTAGGGTGATTGACAAAACTATAAAAGAAACCACCATATCTCAGTACGCCAAGAAACACGTCTTTCTCCGGGTATGCCACTCAGTTTGGGGCTTAGTAATAAACCACATTATTTCTAGAGTTGGTTATTTCTATTAGGACAGACTAGGACACTGACATTTAGTGTTGTCTGTATTTTTCATTTTTAGTCACTCTTCTGGGTATGAATCTCGTGATGATTTAATTTGCATTTTCCGCTCTGTGGCTTGTCTATTAAGTGTTTTGTTTGTTTGTTTGTTTTATGAGAGGAAGGTTTAATTTTGGTGAAATACAGTTTATCAGTTTTCATTTTTATGGTTAATGTCTCTGTGTCCTCTAGCAGAAGTCTTTACCTGGGTCAGCTACATAGCCTAGTCCTTAAGAGAGCCAGGACCCACATTGCTAACCACAGTCCAAACCAAGGACTACCTCTTAAGCTTGTACTTGGAAGGCCAGCAGGTGGCATGGTGGTTGAGGTACTGGACTCCCACATGGCTGCTTGCAGTTTGAATCCCAGGTCTGGTGCCTTGTTTTCTCGCTTTCCCTCTATCTCTCTCTAGTAAGAGCACATGCTCTATAGCAAATTAAAAATACTACTACTAATAAAATTCTTAAGAAATTTGTACTCTGAAGTCCTTCATGTCACTTCTACCCACAAAACAAATATGTGAGAATAAAAAGAAAGGGCCGGCAGGTAGCTTGGAGGCTGGAGCCCTGGATCGCACATGACTGGCTGTGTGGTTCGAACCCCAGACCCGGTGACCTGGGGATCCTTCCAGGCTTGTGTATGGGTGTATGCCGAAAATCCCAAGAAGAAGGGATTGTGGTGTGGCCATCCCCCCGGAGGTGATTTCTCACTCTTTCTCTGTTTCTGTGGCAATTTATACATGCCCTATAGCAAAACAAAAAATTCCTTTTAGAAATTTCTTCTGGGGCAAGAAACTTGGGAGATAATTTAGGAATGAAAAGTACCCTCTCTTGGGGACCAGCAGGTGGCATGGTGGTGAAGGTGCTGGACACTCGATGGCTGACCACAGTTCAAGTCCTGGACCTGGAGGCTTGTCTCACTTTCCCTGTGTGTGTGTGTGTGTGTGTGTGTGTGTGTGTGTGTGTGTGTGTGTGGTGTCAAGTAAAAATAAATGAATGAATAAGTAAGTCAAACTTCACTCACTGTGCCTAATCTTTCAATATTTTCATTTCCCACTTTTCTACCCTGTATCATACCGTGGCAGTTTCTGTACATATTCCTGACCATGCTTTCATCTGAGCAGCTCTGCTGAACTTGGCCAAAAAACATGCCTGAACTGTGAGCAGGTTACTAAGGAGGCAAGAATCTTCTGTGGGCCCTTGACCCCCACCACTGTAAGCATACTGTTTCAACGGCATCTTTTGCCCAAACATCTCAGTGAGCTCTATAAACATTGCCTCACCTGTATGGCAGGTGATATGGTAAATACTGATTTCACATTTTTCATATGGACAAACTGAAAATACCCACTGCCCAAGCCACCTGCTTTCAGAAGACCCTCTAGAGCAGCTGCCCAGGGTTTCCCTGAATTTCTATTCTCTGGAGACAGACCACGGCCTTCAGGTTCCGGCTGCTTCAAAAGCATGTGCACCTTACTTCAGCTTCGTCTTTACTGCATATGTCCCTAACAAATGAAAGCGTATCTTTTCAGGGATTATCCAGTCCCTGGAGGGTGAATTCTGGAGGCAAGAGGAGGCTAATTCTAGAAAAATGGAGTAACAGTAAAATGTGTGGTTTGAAAGTCACAGCAGGGCTGGCAGGTGGCGTGGTAGTTAAGCGCACTGGATTCTCACATGGCTGACCACAGTTCAAGTCCTGAACCTGGTGACTTGCTTTTTCATTTCTCTCTCTCTCTCTCTCTCTCTCTCTCTACCCCTCGCTGGCCAAATTAAAATAAATAAAAGAGAAGCAAAAGAAAGTCATACAGATCTTGCTGGTACATTTAGCACATCTTGAATCCTTCATTAGCAGGAGATTCATATACTTAACCTGAAATCCTCCTTCATCACAAACTGTGTGTGAAATGCTTGTTAACAATGGTGCTCAGGACCAGTAGTTAATGGCTATGTCGCTGGACTCCCATGGAGTTGACCGCGGTTTGAGTCCTGGACCCAGTGGCTTAAACTCAAGCCAGGCGCATGTGCGTGCGTGCCCAAGATCCCTGACGTATTCCTGACAATGAGAGACTGGAGAACGGAGAATGGAGGAGAAGGGGTTGTGGCGTGGCCATCCCTCTCCGGGGGGTGATTTCTCACTTGCTACCTGTCTCTGTCTTTCTGGTGAGCGCACGTACCCTATAGCAAAATCCTCTCAAACAAACAAAACAGTGGTGCTCACACGCTGGCCAGCCTACCTTTCTGAGCCTCCTCTAGCTGAGTCCCTAGCCAAGACGAGGTAGCTTGCTTCTGGGACGTGGCTCCCGTTTCCCCCGGAGCCTTTGCTCATGGTCTGTCCACTCGCAGACGTTCTCCAGCCTGTCTGCTTCTCACAATCTTGGACTAAAAGGCCCAGTGGGACACCACTCCCTCCACGTAGCTGCTCAGATCCCTCCTGTCTTGAATCTCTCTGTTCTGTATCTCACCGTCGGTAGTGGCCTGCAGATGACTTCAGCGCCACTGCTTCGAGCTCTCGGCACAGGCTTACACCCCCACCTGGAGCCTCCAGCTCTGGCCTCCAGCATCCTAGCTGTAAGCAGCTTGCTGAGGGAGACCCTGTAGCATCTTCTGTAGTGCTGGACGTGGAAGACATGCTGCCATGTGTGGGCTGCGATCTCTCTTCTGCGGTCCTTCCAAATCTGCAATTCTAATGTCCCCTATGGAATGTATGGGGGCACTTGCTCAAACTCTGCTCATGGCAAAAAGGCACCTCTTTCTCTGATGACAATATGCATTATCCGACATCATCAGGTTAGTTAATGGGAGTCAATGGGTGAGTCACGGTGATTACTGGACAGACAGGAAGTAGTGGGCTACAAATACTCATCGCTGCAATTCTGAAAGAACAGGAAAGACGACGTCTACTACAACGGCCGGGTTCCAGCCTGTTCAGAAACAGCCAGGGAGGCAGTAAGTTCATTAAGCGAAGTGAACCTACCCAGAAAACGTACCCAAGACAGTGGATTTCAAATACAAATCAGAGCTTTGTACTACATGATTCTATTTCCTATTAGCTAAATTGGAGAAGTCTCTTCTTTCATTCAAATTCTATATAAACAAAAACTGTCACTTGTTTTTACTTCGGAACAAATGGCTTATCTAGGCCCTGGTTTTCTATGAGTTGGCAATAGCTAGGCAATGTGCAAGCCAACGTGGAAAGGAAGTCAAAGCTGTCAGAGAAGAGTCAGATGTGAAGCGATACATAAACGGACATACACGATAAACGGGAAGGCACTGTTAGAGCAGGACGGAACTGTGTGTGCAGTGTTCTATCGGTCGTTCTCGGGGGCTGCAGAGATTGTAAGTCACCAGTAGACAATGGATATCTTTGACTGGACTAACGTGCCGCACGTTCGTGCCTGAAAAGTTCATTTTGTATGCTGTGAAGATGTACAGTAACTAAATGTAAGGAAATAAGAAATTTCAAAAAATTAAAAGAAAGGCAATAGTGCTTTCAGAGGGAAAGGGCTTCACTGTATTATATATAGTAAAAATAAATTGTAAAAATATTAAGAAACTCTGTAGAGACATTTTCTATTTTTAATTTTTAAAATTTTTTTAAAGAATTATTTTATTTTTTATTGAACTTTATTTATTTTAATTTCACCAGGGAAAG